CATGTGGGTACTTAAATGAAAGGTCTCGATGAGTGTAACATCGAAATGAGTTTATATCTTAAAAAATGTCAATAATTAAGAAATGACCTTCTATCTTGTGAACTATTGACATTTTTAAAGTTATAAGCTCATCCCGACATTACACTCATCGAGATCTTTCATCTGAGTACCCACATCAATTTTTCATATATTTATATATATTATATATATCACATATATGTATATATGAAAAATATATCAAAAAAGCATGTGGGTACTCAAATGAAAGCTCTTGATGAGAGTAACATCAGGATGAGCTTATATCTTTAAAAACGTCAATAGTTAAGAAATTACCGTGCAATTTAACAAAAGTCATTATTTAACATAGCAAATTTTTACTTATTTATTGTTCACAATTTCTTGCAGTCACATAGTGACTGCAAGGTTGCTAGTTATTTTTTTTTTGTAAAAAGGAAAAAAGTTCTTCTAATCTATTATTATATAAAATAAAATTGAGGTTATGATCGAGTAAAGTGGGAAGAACAATAGACAGTTCTTGGCCTATACAAACCTCATTACATTCTTTAATCCGTGGCTTCCGTCGTAATTTCATCCACATAGATGCTGTCTCCGATGAATCATTCTAACAAATAATTTTTCCGGAAATTAACGGGATTACAGTCAATAAAATAATTACTCAGTAAAATAAAATTTAATTTAATATTTTATTAATAAATAAAACTTCCATAATCAATAATCAACAAATAATTATTCTTCCGGTTGAAACTTAAAATTATCGTAACAATAAATCTAGTTAACGACCCATTAACTTAATCGAACAATAAGTCAGTAAGTTAAATTATACATTATTACTTATTACAATGTTAATGATTTAACGAGTTAATAATAATAATAATAATAATAATAATAATAATAATAATAATAATAATAATAATAATAATAATAATAATAATAATAATAATAATAGTAATTGTTTTTATTACAGATAATTCCTACGCTAAACACTTTTATCAGAAATAACACTGCCGAGGCTGTGATTGCTATTTCTTCTTTGATTTGGCCGTGACGGGTGATGAATTGGCGTTTGTGTGACGATCTGCAACTCTCGTTCACTGTTTACGCGCCTTATTACACTTCCGTTGCTCGAATAACGTCTTCCGCCTTTGTGTTTTGGACTGCGTGGTCCCCGGATGTTGTTGAACACTACATAGACCGCTAATATGCCGATTGTGAACATAGAAACTCCAATTCCGCTCACTACTGCCACCTGCAGACAGTTTTTAAAGGTTAAAAAAGGCCGTTTTAATGGCTGTTGTGCCAAATTCACATTTTTTAGGTTTTTACAAAGAGAAAAACACGATAACTTTTTAAAAAATAAATTATTCAACTCTATTTATTTTTTAATCTCTTCATCTGCCTTTTGGAAAGTTGCGTATTAAATATTGCAGCTTAATATAATTTTGTTTAATTATAATCAATATTTTTCGGCAGGCAGGTCAGGAAATTTTCTATTGAGCAGCTATTTATAGAAAGTTATTTGTAAATACAGATTGAAGACAGGTGATGTTTTATATAAGGAGATCCAAGTACCCGCCTAGTGTAAAGAATGTCTAATATAAAAAAATAATACGTAAAAATACTTTTGTTATCTTGAAATTAATTTTTAAATTAATTAATAACATTTTTGAGGAAATTTCCGAAAAATTAACTCATTAAATAATTATTAACATTTGATTGACTAATAAAAAATCTAGCGCTCTGAATTACCGGTATACACTTGACAACACCGCAAGCGTGTCCCTAACCTTAGATTTTATTTATGTTTACTGTCTAACTAAAATGACTAAGATGTTCTAGCATTTAAAAAACCGCGGTTACTTATGCGCATGGGTAACTGCGCAAGCGGTGTTGCCAAGTCAAATACAAGACTTTAAAGAACGCAAGTGTCCGAGTGATTTTTCATAAAAAATATAAAATATCTCCGTAATACGTTCGGAAAGCTACTTTTTTTATTGTTTTAATCTTTAGCTTATTATTTTTTCAATCAAATTCAATGAAAATAAAATTTTTTTTAAATCGTTAATTGCATTAAATTCTTAACCAAATACACGGCTGGTGGAATCTTCATTTACCTACATTTAAAAATTACAATTTTCAAACCTAATTAATTGATTAAATATCGCGGAAACTCCTGTTTTTTAATTTTTTTTATTATTAGGCTCCGTAGATTGAATTTACAAATTTTTAGGAAGTTTTAAAAATTTTACTTTGTGTGGATCTCTTTAAAATTGTAAATAAAATTAACTTATTAATAAAAAAAAAATTTTTACCACAGTCCAAAATTCGTATTCATCACTTTCCGCATATAAAACTCTGGAAATATCATCGTCATCATCATCATCATCATCATCATCATCGTCATTATTGTACTTCTTGCGATTATGATTATGATTATTATTATTATTGTTATTATTATTATTATTATTATTAATTTTAGGGTTGTTACGAGTCTTGAAGTTTTTACTAGAAGTAGCGCAGTCATTTGTTTTATCATTGCCGTTCGACAACAAACCTCTAAATAAATCCGGCATTACGTCATCATCATCGTTGCCATTATTGTTAGAATTTTCGTCGTCCCAATCGACAATAGCGTCGTTTTTCTTCACCTTTATTTCTCCTAATTTATCAAGAACCCCATTTTTCACCCGCAGGTAAATGTCAATTGTTCTAGTTGCAATTTGCAATTGCGCGTTTTTAGTTGATATCACGTTACCAATCAGGGTGTTCCATTCAGCATGGTTTACTTCGCTTGAACATTTTTTCTTCTTGCTAAAATTATTAACAACAAAATAAAAGAAAAATACTTAAATAATTTATTTGTTAAGGTAATTTTTTAAATTAAGTTATTTTTTTGAATTTGAATTTTGGCGGGCTAGTGACGTAGTGCTATATCCGGTGCGCAACGCCATCTTACAGAGAATCTAGGAACTATATTTATTTTTTATTGTTATTTAACATATATAAACGGCTTTTTTGCAATATAGATGGTAATAAGATTTTAAATAGATTTTTTAAAATAAAATTGTCAGGAAGAAAAAATTGTAGAAACAATTAATAAGTACATAAATTGTAGCTTTAAATGGGTTTTAAAAAATCGATTTTTTTTGTCTTATTAAACTCTACAACATCTCTAGAATATTGTCCTAAAGTTTCAAATCGATCCGAATAATAGTTTTAAAAAGTTGCGCGCTCAAGGCGCTGTTGTATTGTCACTCAAAACTTTAAACGCGTTTTTCTCAAAACTATGTTTTCAAAGACGGCTGTCAAGATTTCTCGAGAACTACTCAACCGATCTTGATGAAATTTTAGACAGGTCTTTGAGATATAATTTACAAGGTCTTGAACGAAGGATTTTTTTTTCAATTACAACTATTTAAAAAAAAAAATCCCGCGAAATTTTAGCCGAATTTTTAATTTTTTTGTAAAAACCTCTGGCGAAAATCCAATTTTCATTTTTTTTTTTTTTCCTTCGTTCAAGACCTAGTTTGAAGTCTTAACTAAAGCACATATTTTTTTTTTTTCACTTCTGATGATCCTGCTAGGAGTTCTGCTGTCCACGCGGACGCATCTTTTTTCCGAGGGCTCGCCGGAAATGACGTCACATTAGCAGAGTTTTTAATATTTTTTTTTTTTAATTTCAGTAATCCCTTATTAAACATGTATCTTTAAGACAGTAAAAAGTTTGAATAAAATATTTCATTTTTTCTATTAAAAAAAAATTGTTGAAAGGCCATTTTTTCCCGGAGGAAAACCATGTAACTCCTTAAGAGTCTAGTTTTTAAAAAAATTATTTTAGCAACATAAACAACTTACCACAATAAATCATACGATTTAGTGTAAACTTCAAGAGCATCTTTAAGCCACCTAATTTCACGCATCTCTTCAGTATCAAATCTTTCGACCTCTTTGTTGCTCCACAATTTCGAGTTTTCAACTTTCGATTCAATTCCAGCCAAGTCAGTTCTAAAAAAATAATTTATCTATTTAGTATTCTTTATCTGCGGATAATTAAACCTTTCCTTTTAGTGATGCAATAATAATATTAACAACAATGTCACTGGAGATAATGAAGCCCATCAAGGACGCTCTAAGTAACTCAGTAAACTTTCTAAGAGTGAAACTTATTTTGTATTATATTCTATTACAATATAAATAAATATAAAAAAATACGGATTTACGGTGATTAACTTTTAATACCAATTGTTCAATCACAATCATTAAATGGTGTCGAGGAAAGAATTTTAATAAAAAAAAAAATAAAGAAAAAAGGCTAGCTGGATAATAATTATACACCGTGCACAGCAATTAATTGTGAAAAATTATTTATAATATTTATCTGTGTTATGGTTATTATTGTTATTTGTAATATTGATTTTTTTTAGAATATTTACTGTGCACAGTAATTAGATTGAGAGAAAAGCAATTAATAAATACAAAAGTCATTTTATTACTTTATTTTATTAAATAAGTAATAACCATCAATTATTAAATTGTTCAAATGTTTTTTATACATTTACTACACTCTTACCTAGTATCTCCAAGCAGGACAATAGAATGAGAGTAATCGATTTTATCGATGTAGCTTCTCAAATTTCCTTCGCTTGCAATGACAACTGTGCTGGCTAAATTTTTAAAAAAGCTCTTGGGCGGTTTGCCAATATAAACAATCCTTGAAGAAAAGTCATCACTATCATCTTCATCATGGATCATCACACAGAGACCGCGGGATATCGCGCCATTGGTTACTTTCTTAGCGATAACCTGTATGTCATCATCTTTATTGCTGTTGCTGTTGTACTTCGGCGTGGTTAATGTAAATGACTTCCATTTTAAGACTTCTAGGATCTCTAAAATTCCTTGAACGATATAAGAGTCTGTTTCTTCATGTAAGTTGTGGAGGTAAGGCGACGACATCGAGTTTGTATGGACAATATGGGGCACGTGCAGTATTGAGGTTATTTTTTGTACAGCGTCAATGTTTTGAGGTGATTCCGGTCCGATTAATCCTAAAAAGATAATTAAATACCATTCTCATGCAAGGACCTTTTTTTGGAACATTGTTTGGGAAAAAATGGAGAACATTTCTCTGGATCGAAAATTTTGATATAGAAATATAGATATTCAATTTATTACACGGAAAAAAACGTGCGGTAAATCCAACATCACTTGGAGTTGTCACAGAAACACATGAAAATCATCCGTAAACACACTATAGCGTATATATACTTTAGTCCATCCTGTGGTAAATGCTACTCCAAGTGTAGTTGGATTTACCGCATTTTCTTTTCCGTGTGAGAATTTGAACCGATTCGGACCGATAAATTTTGATAAATTTTGAAAAATTTCAAAAAAACTAAGAAAAAATTTTTTTTTTCAAGTGCTTTTTTTGAAATAACTTTTAAATGGCTTTATCGATCAACTTAAAAAAACTTACCCGCTCTTAAGCTTGAAAAACCACGTCGATCGCCGTTAATCCGGTCAAAATCGGTTGATTCGTTCGAGAGATATCGTGAACGAAAGAAAACCGAAAAAAGTATTTTTTCGGAATTACTCCGAAATTCCTGGCTGAATTAAATAAAACTTACAGATTCTTCATGAGGCTTAAAAAATTGCGTCGAATGCTGCCAACCGCGTAAAATCCGGTTCATTCATTCAAAAGTTATTGCGGTTTGAAAATTTATATATAAATATATGAAAAAATTGATGTGGCTATTTAAATAAAAGATCTCGATGAGTAGAATGTCGGCTTATATCTTTAAAAATGTCAATATTTTACGAGATAGAAGGTCATTTCTTCATTATTCATATTTTTAAAGATATAAGCTCTCCCTGATATTATACTAATCGAGACCTTTCATTTGAGTACCCACATCAATTTTTCATATATTTTGTATATTTATATTATATATATATTACATATATGTATATATGAAAAATATATTAAAAATGCATGTGGGTACTCAAATGAAAGCTCTTGATGAGTGTAACATCAGGATGAGCTTATATCTTGAAAAACATCAATAGTTAAGCAAATATAGTGCAATTTAACAAAAGTCATTATTTAATAAAGCAAAATTTTATTTATTTATAGTTCACAAGTCACGGAAGTCACATAGTGACTGTAAGGTTGCTAGTAAAAAATCATCTATCATGTATAAAATAGAAAAAATTTGAAAAATAAGGTGATTACAACTTTTAAAAAAATTACCTAAAAAATACGGCGGATGAAGACAGCTACTTGACAGCGCTTTCATCGCAGCAGTTGTCGCACCCGTCACTGTACCGCAAGTATCCAAAACGCTTAAATCTAAAAGTAAGATTTTTTTTTAATTCTCATCTTATCATAAAACAGCAAAACAAAATACAAACCTATCTTCAGGTTATTATTTTTGGCATTGTGCGCATCGACGAACATTTTAGCAGCCTCTGACATTATTACGCCTCTGCTTGACGGATTAGAACACGTCGAATCATCATGAACGGTTGTTAATAACGAAATTTTAGCGTTGCCATTACATTCACTAGTTCTTCCACCACAAATACAAGCCCCTAATATTCCTAATGTTAATAAAAATAAATATTCACTTAATTTTAACATAATTTATTTTTTAAATTAATTATTTATTATTTAAAACTGTAAATTAATTAATAACTCTATTGTAAATTATTTTTTAAATAATTTATATAATTTATTGAAGATAATTCAAGTCAGAATGTGAACCTTGATATTGAACGGCAGAGTTTTATGTAGTGAAGCCACAAAGCTTTATTATATGTTACGTGCCAAAACTTGTAAGGTTTTAAACTCGCAAATTCATTTTTCTTAAAGTTAATATAATATTATTTCATGAAAAATTTTATTTTTTCATTAGATCAATTTCGTTTTTTTTTTTTTTTTTAACAATATTTAAGAAGATTATGATTGTATAATTGCGCACAATTGTTACGTCAGTATTGTTTAATTCATTTATAGAATTTATTTCCCGGGGAATTAACAAACTTATTGACTTATTTTAATTATATTTAACTAATAATTGTCTCATAAGTATTTTTTATTAACAAAAGAAATAAATTACCTTCAGAATAAAAAATTGAGAAAATTTTAGCGGTAATATTTTTTGAATCGGGTTAGTATGTTATCGAAGTATTATCACATTAAATATGCGAATTATTCAAAATAAAGCTCTATAATATACAACCTTGACATTTGTTATATAATTTTGTCAAGTCTTTAAAGTATAAAGTGTTATCGTTTGTTGTGTAGTTTTATGTACAGAGAAAATAATTGGATCAAGTTAATTTTTATTTAAAAATTTAAACACTAATGAATAAATTATAAATTTAATATTATTTTTCAAGTCAAAAATAAATTGTATAGGGTAAATGCACCAGTTGTTGACCGGTCACCAATTAGTTGACCGATGTATAAAAAAGTTAATTAATTAATATTTTACAAGGGTTTTTTTTTTCTTAAAGTATTAAAATAAAACAATATGGCATTTAATCATCATAATAAAAAATTACGCAATTAATTGCGCAGTGATTAATAGCTTTAAAAAAATATTCTGAGTTTGTTTACAACGCAACCAGCCATAAAGCGGTCAAAAATAACTACCGTACAATTGGAGAGTGAGTGCATTTCATAATTAATTTAGTGATATTTATCGGCACAATATCAAATATTTTAGTTTTATTATGTTAATTAAAAATCAGATTCCAACTTTTTTGAAAAAATAAAGTTAAATTATAAGTTTCAATATTATTTTAAGA